CTAGCAGTCTGAATATTTATCTAATTTTCATTGATGTTTGATTTGTTTTATTATATAGATTGTTTATTTTTAGGAAGAAGAGTAGAAATAAAGGTAGAAAGTAANCCAACTAGCAGTCTGAATATTTATCTAATTTTCATTGATGTTTGATTTGTTTTATTATATAGATTATTTATTTTTAGGAAGAAGAGCAGAAATAAAGGTAGAAAGTAAACCAACTAGCAGTCTGAATATTTATCTAATTTTCATTGATGTTTGATTTGTTTTATTATATAGATTGTTTATTTTTAGGAAGAAGAGCAGAAATAAAGGTAGAAAGGAAACCAACTAGCAGTCTGAATATTTATCTAATTTTCATTGATGTTTGATTTGTTTTATTATATAGATTGTTTATTTTTAGGAAGAAGAGTAGAAATAAAGGTAGAAAGTAAACCAACTAGCAGTCTGAATATTTATCTAATTTTCATTGATGTTTGATTTGTTTTATTATATAGATTGTTTATTTTTAGGAAGAAGAGCAGAAATAAAGGTAGAAAGTAAACCAACTAGCAGTCTGAATATTTATCTAATTTTCATTGATGTTTGATTTGTTTTATTATATAGATTGTTTATTTTTAGGAAGAAGAGTAGAAATAAAGGTAGAAAGTAAACCAACTAGCAGTCTGAATATTTATCTAATTTTCATTGATGTTTGATTTGTTTTATTATACAGATTATTTATTTTTAGGAAGAAGAGTAGAAATAAAGGTAGAAAGTAAACCAACTAGCAGTCTGAATATTTATCTAATTTTCATTGATGTTTGATTTGTTTTATTATATAGATTATTTATTTTTAGGAAGAAGAGCAGAAATAAAGGTAGAAAGTAAACCAACTAGCAGTCTGAATATTTATCTAATTTTCATTGATGTTTGATTTGTTTTATTATACAGATTGTTTATTTTTAGGAAGAAGAGTAGAAATAAAGGTAGAAAGTAAACCAACTAGCAGTCTGAATATTTATCTAATTTTCATTGATGTTTGATTTGTTTTATTATATAGATTGTTTATTTTTAGGAAGAAGAGTAGAAATAAAGGTAGAAAGTAAACCAACTAGCAGTCTGAATATTTATCTAATTTTCATTGATGTTTGATTTGTTTTATTATATAGATTGTTTATTTTTAGGAAGAAGAGTAGAAATAAAGGTAGAAAGTAAACCAACTAGCAGTCTGAATATTTATCTAATTTTCATTGATGTTTGATTTGTTTTATTATATAGATTGTTTATTTTTAGGAAGAAGAGCAGAAATAAAGGTAGAAAGTAAACCAACTAGCAGTCTGAATATTTATCTAATTTTCATTGATGTTTGATTTGTTTTATTATATAGATTGTTTATTTTTAGGAAGAAGAGTAGAAATAAAGGTAGAAAGTAAACCAACTAGCAGTCTGAATATTTATCTAATTTTCATTGATGTTTGATTTGTTTTATTATATAGATTATTTATTTTTAGGAAGAAGAGCAGAAATAAAGGTAGAAAGTAAACCAACTAGCAGTCTGAATATTTATCTAATTTTCATTGATGTTTGATTTGTTTTATTATATAGATTATTTATTTTTAGGAAGAAGAGCAGAAATAAAGGTAGAAAGTAAACCAACTAGCAGTCTGAATATTTATCTAATTTTCATTGATGTTTGATTTGTTTTATTATATAGATTGTTTATTTTTAGGAAGAAGAGCAGAAATAAAGGTAAAAAGGAAACCAACTAGAGTAGAAGAATATGGAATTGGTTCAAGTATAGTTGAGAGAATAAAGTTACATAATTTAATGGCTAACATGAAGAAAGTAAGACCAAGATTAAATAAGATTTAGAGCAATGGATATTTTTATTAGGAAATACAGTATTGGTATTCTATAGAAGCACTGGCCAAGGCCATTAGTTTGACGTATCTATTATTACTTGAAGTAATAAATATTGAATTGAAAAATAATACAATTAACGATAGTGAGTGCAAAGTGAAAGAATAGAGAAATTATCACAATTCCACCTCAATATTCCTCTGTCAGGGAGTTTCTGGAATGTTAAAGATCTCAGTACTGTTCAAATTGAAAGAAAGAGAAGGATGCTCTAATCCTTGTTGAATTTCCTGCATTGGACACAGCATAGAATTTCCTGTCTTAATTATTCAAACAAATCAGGGTCAGAATGGAAAAGTTTTCGTTTTATTTATTATTTTAGAAATGTGAGGAAGAGATCCATGATGTAAAAACTTGTCAGAAATGTCGTGTAAAATTAGAGGAACTAGATGGTCAACAATTAAAAACTGACTTTTTACGTAAAAACTGTCAAAAAATACAATCTGATATTATAGATGATAAAATACAGAATCATCTTATTAAA